ATGCTTGCATACAGCCATGTATTCATGTGTGCAAGGCCACATGACTTTGAAACATAAGACACTCTGAATGGGCTGACATGGGCAGAGAGCCATTAGTAAGAACCTCTTATCTTCTGATGAGAGAATGGCCTCCGATGTCCACCACTATCGTGTTATATTTAGCCTGTCTTTCTCTTTTAGGTGTCTGTTACTAAGCAACATCAAAATTCAGTATATGTTTTGGGGACTCGGAAATGCAGCAGAGGTGTAATGCCTTTCAACTCGGCGTTGAATGGATTTCCATTCTTTTGTTTCAGAATTAGGCATCGTCTCTAAAGACACCAATACCAGTGCTCTTGTCTTTTTAGGGGGGGCTAATACTTTTGCACTCCACCTGGGATGTTGGGAAATCGATGACGGCTTCTAATTGAATTCGAAATGCTCTCTCTCCTCCAGGTGTTTGATATCAGTCGATACCAAGAGTCCTTGGCTGCTTACTTCGTTCTGGGCACCCATGAGCACATTAACCAGATAGTGGAGATTCTTCTGGGGGATACGCGAGCGTACGTGTTCTTCGAGAGGAGCCATGGCGACATGCACTCTTTCGTTCGCACTTGCAAGAAGCTGCGAGAGGAAGGGGCTGCCAGACTTTTCCATCAGATAGCATCAGCTGTGGCGCACTGCCACGACAACGGCCTGGTCCTCAGAGACCTCAAGCTGAGGAAGTTCGTCTTTAAGAACAAGGACAGGTAAAGAAGCCACTAGTAAGGTTGTTGGGTTCAAACATAACATGCACATTTGATTTTTAAAGAGAGGTTTGTTTTGCATGGACAGCACATTATTCACATATTGTGATTGCAAATGTGAAGGTATATTACTGATGTATTTCGTAATGAAACAAACATTATTGAAGGGGCTGTAGCTTATAGTTACTATTGTGAACCATGATTTGCTGCTTGCTGTTGTCATTGGCAGCTGGTATTAGGGGACATTCTCATTCTAGAGAGCATTGGATTGGACACAAATTTGGTTACACACAGTAAATTTTATATATATATATATATATATTTATTTGTCTGGAAATCTTTCAGCCTCACACAAAATTCCTATTTAAATGATTGGATTTTTCCTTTAAAAATTAGCTGAACAACAGTAAAAGTGACCACACCATAGGTGAAAAGCCGCTCCAGTTTTGTTTTCATGGGGTCTTTAATGATGTCGTCGTTCCATACAATGGTATTTCTCAAAGTACTGTGGTTTTACCATCTCATACTGTCAGTACCATGGTGCCACCACAGTTCTTTTTTGTATCAGGTCTTTATTAATTTACCCATGTAGGCCTTTAAGTGGTGCATTTACAATATTAAACAAATGTGAAGTTAGGCTGATATTGTAAATGCATTATTTATAGTGAACATGGAATCAAAATTGACCATATATGTACTTTCTTAACACACATTTCAGGCAATTTCTGTGCAACTATGTATTAGTGATGCACTGAAAAGATTATGTATTTATTTTTTTTACCAAAACCGAAATTAAAGTTTTAATTTAGCCAAAAACTGAAGCCAAAAATAAACTTTTGAGTAATACAATTTGAGTAATTGAATTTAGTATGCTCTTCAGGGTGTTGTGTTCTCAAATGATAAATTAAACCAGTCATAGTAAAGTTCTTTGGCAACGGGTTGCCTCTTGATATTTTAGTAACAAAGTTTACATATTGCTACTTCAGCATGCTTTTTGGTCACAAAGTGTGTGAAACTGCTGACAAGTTTACCTGTTGTGGCTTATCTTATCCTTGTTCTGTGCACAAAATAAATACGGATGCAGTCGAAAAAGTGCCATCAGAGAAGTGTAAATTAAACCTCACTGTTTCAGTCAATAGTTTCATCCAAAACTAAAAATATATTTTCTTTGCTGTTGCATCTGAATATTTTGTATTGCTGACATTTCAGTGCATCACTACTTTTTTTATTTTAGTCATACATGATATCACAAAAAATATAGCTTTTTGTATTCCATCATGCTCCACCTCCAAAATACCTTTCATTTTTGGCTGACTTCACCAAGCCTTGATAATTTTCTACCCCTCCAATCTATTTCCAATGGAAAACATTATGTCCCGTATTCTATTTTGTTTTTCTATTTTGCATATCCTGTTTCTCTCCGAAAAAAGTCATGTTGAAGTAAAAATGGTTTTGAATGGCATTGCGTGTTGAGTTTTGAAAAAATTAGCCTGCCCATATGTTTGGCAGTAAAATTAGTCTGAAATAATCCCAAGCATGCGTTATGAATCTGGGTGGCCTTCCCGTTTAAGCTAAATGGCAGTTGCGCCACTGGCCAAATGAGTCAGCTCAGCTAGATTCCCTCTGGCTCGCTCGATGGAAATGGAGATTGTTGCCTGGTGCTTTAAATGTGAGCTCGGTGACCTTACTGTTCCCATGCTCTGTGGTCTGGTGCGTCAGCCATCCTCCTTTCAGTGAGCGATTGCAGACGAGCGCAGGTAAACGTGGCCAAGGGTGGTGAGTCTTACCCTGGCCAGAAATCAAACACCAAGGGCGCACCAAGATTGGAACCAGAGAGGAAAGTGATCCAGACAGAACTGCATTCCTCGGCGTAGTGGGTTCCTGATCTAGTTATGTCATGAAGGACGCTCGTAACGTTCTACTGTCGCACGCTAGAGGCCGCAGTGCAGTTCGTCTGGAATCGCTCCCTAATGTACTAGTGTGTGCATCCACGTGTCCTCCGTTTTTTTCTGCTTTCGTGTGGGCCGGTGTTCTTTGCAGGCTCTTGACCCGGTGTAACTCAGCCGTGGAGCTGTGACTCACATATGCTGCATGTCATTAAGAGAATATTTCGAGCATGCCGTGTTCTCTTTGCACTGCGGTGCATGGAAACGGGTCACAAGTTCAGGTCAGAGAAGAGGCGACCTGTTCATTTCTGACCTTCAGGTAATTTAGACGCCCTGCAACCTTTCCACGCAGCAGGATACCGCTTGTCGGGAAAAATAATATGACTATTTTGAGCTCCGAGGATTGGATGTTTTGCTGAGACTCAGTGGGCGTACAGTTTCATTTGGATGGTTTCTGATTCAGAATCTGAGTCACGAGGCAGCTTGCAGAAGACCTCAAAGAAGTTTTCATTGCATATGTTGTTTTTTATTTTTTGTCTTTGTAACTTGGGCTGCGTGATGTAGTTAATCTTAGTGTTTTTCAGATTTTTTATAAATGAGCAGGGATGCAAATTGTGTAGTTTGAAAACACTGTAAGCACATAAAGGGACTTGCACAAGTAAACAAAAGTTTGGGGTCGGTACGATTTTTTAAATGTTTTTTAAAAGTCTGTTATTCTGACAGGCTGCATTTATTAGTTAAAAAAACAGTTATATAAACTGTAGTATCTTTTCAAATGAAATTTATTCCTGTGATGCAAAGCTGAAATTTCAGCATCATTACTCCAGTGTTCAGTGTCACATGATCCTTCAGAAATCATTCTAATATGCTGCTTTGCTGCTCAAGAAACATTTATTGTCAATGTTATGTTAAAAACAGTTGTGCTGCTTAATATTTTTGTGGAAACTGATATAGAGATTTCAAACTTCACTTTTGATCAATGTAATGCACCCTTGCTGAATTAAAGTATTCATTTAATTCATATATATGTAAATAATATGCATCACAGTATAGTATCTAAATATAATATACATTTCTCACAGTATTTGACTAATTATCACTTTTTAAGTTTATGATTCAAATGAATCATTGAACCATAGCTATGAATCTGATTCATGAACATGATTCAAACTTACCCTCTACCCTGATTTTGCATCAAAGACATTATTAAAAACATCTTGATGCTCTCATATTTGCAACACAAGAAAAACTGCTAAATTAGTCTGACATGCTTTTTAGAAAACATAATGGCCACCTTAAAGTATCAGAATGTGCTTTATTTTATATTAGCAACAGAATCATAGTGGATATACTGTGAATAGATAGCAGATTGTTTGTCGTCGTCCGTATGTTTCATGTTTTGCATTATTTTGCAAATGACAAGATTACAGCGGAAAAACTAGGATCACAGGGAATAGTGATTGTTTGAGGAATTCCATCTTTGGTGTGGCATTATTCCTGCTTTTTATAATTCCCAGAATGAATTCCAGATTTCCCTCTGGATTAAACTGGCAGGAATGTCCCGAGGCTGTCTTTATATTGCTTTTTTTTATGCAAGGAATTTACAGTCCAGTGCATAGAGGATATTTATGCTTTGCGGTCAAAAAACTGCAATAGTAGAGGAAAATATGATTTGAAAGGGTTTTAGTTATTATTTTGGACTGACGGATTTGGACACTTGAATTTCTCTTAAATAGTTTTTGGTCAGTCTTTGGTCATTTTTGAATGATCTTGAACGCCAACACAACCGAAAGTTTGCTTCATTTAATTTATTTTACATCATATTTTAACACAACATTTTCAGTTGTTAAGTCTGTTTTAGAACCTAATTTAGGAAACCAACAAACCAGACTTTAGCTTCATTTCATGTATTTTGTATGTTCATAAAATGTTCAATTTGTGCGTCAAAGATCATGAATGACGTCTTCAAATATGTAATTTTCAATATTATTCTCTGTCTTTCCCAGGAGCCTTGTAAAGTTAGAGAGTTTGGAGGATACGTACCTCCTAGAAGGAGGTGATGATTCGCTCTCGGACAAACACGGCTGTCCAGCCTACGTCAGCCCGGAAATCCTCAACGCAAATGGCAGCTATTCGGGTAAGGCGGCGGACGTGTGGAGCTTAGGCGTGATGCTCTACACCATCCTGGTGGGCCGTTACCCGTTCCACGACGTGGAGCCCAGCTCGCTGTTCAGCAAGATCCGCCGCGGCCAGTTCAGCATCCCCGAGACGCTAACACCCAAGGCGCGATGCCTCATCCGTAGCATCCTGCGGCGAGAACCTGCCGAACGCCTCACCTCCCGAGAGATCCTGGACCATCCCTGGTTCTCGGCCTCCGGCGGTTTGGCGGCCGTCGCCAGCCACGGAAGAGGCGAGCGAGAGTTGGACCAAATGGTGCCAGAGGCCAACATGGAAGAAGAACTAGAACAGTTCTTCAGCTGAGAACAAACTCGTCAGACGTTATGCCACGTCCTTTTAGATTATCAGAAAACCAGAAATACACTCATTATGGATGGTGTTTATTGTTATTTCTCATTCCGTGAAGAGACATGGTCTGTTCTGGCTTAGGAGAAAAGGACTTCTCCCTGAGCTAGGACTTCTGGACGAAGCGCGTTGAGTGATGTAGCAAGACTTACTTTGGTTTTTCCTTTATTTCTTTTTTGTCTTCGTTTTACGTGGTGCTCACGAGGCGTAGGAGTCACAGTAAGCTACAAACATGCATTAGAAGAACTCAGCCAAGGAACCTTAGGAGAAAAGGACTTCTCCCTGAGCTAGGACTTCTGGACGAAGCGCGTTGAGTGATGTAGCAAGACTTACTTTGGTTTTTCCTTTATTTCCGTTCGTTTTTGTCTTCGTTTTACGTGGTGCTCACGAGGCGTACAAGTCACAGTAAGCTACAAACATGCATTAGAAGAACTCAGCCAAGGAACAAAGAAAATATATCAATCAAAACTGCTAAACCTCGCCTGTTTCTAGCTCTGACTTCTCCAAGTTGTTGACCGTGTCTCGGTTTCTGCTTTTCCTTGAATGCAAATTGTTGGTTGCGTCTCAATCTGATCCTCGGTTTATTTTAAGTTTAGCTTTTCGACAGACCTCCAGGTCAATAATGCGAAGACCATGTCATTTTTTTGTTTCTGATTCATTACAGCTGCATTAAGAACGATTTGTGTTGCATTAAGCTGTTCCTTTTACTATTATTGCTGCTTTTTTCGCTCTTAACAATAACTGAAACTTTCTCCGTAAGTCTTCAGAAAATAAAAAAAAACGTCAAGCACTTGACTCGCCTAGGCTTGGAGATCCTCTCTGGACTAGTGTCATCTTTTTAACTTTTAGTTGTTTTTCTTTTGCTGGAGCAAAATGTATCTTTTTTTTATTTTATTTATAAGGTAACTCCTACTATATTTAAAAAGAAATACGTGCAGGGTTTTTATTTTCGTTTTTCTTAACCGCCAGTTTTCACGAATATTGTAGGCAATACATTTGACACAGGACAGGTTTGACTTTTTGTTTTAAACTTTGTCCCAAGTTGGAAGGTCTGCGATTTAACGTCAGTGCCAGTAATCGCGCACCCCAAACGCACGCAAAACATACTCCTTATTTTTTTTAGTTTTTTGCATTTGACTCCATAAATATTAGATAATATTTCTACGACTACACCGTCTCGAGTACCTCATGTTAACTCTACTGCCTGCATAGGTCTGTGAAATGATCATGTTTTGAATGGGTACATGTAGACATGTTTCGTTGTATATCAATGTTACTTGAAATAGTGATTTATATCTAGTCAATGGCATGTGCCCTTTGGATGCTTTAGCCTGCCTAGCAAGAGGGAAGTTCATTTTTTCATTTTTGTTTTCTTAAAGAAGGATTTACTAGGAGTTCTTGGTTGTTTTTTTTCTCCTTCCTCTGGTCATTGTGCTTTCACTTGTTTTGTAGAAGGAACTTGCCTACCTAAGTTGGTGCTGATTAGGTGCTAATTTTGAAGGATGTTTTTCTTTTTTGTTTGTTCATTTTTTCCCTCATGTTTTCAAGGGGAGGGGGGAGTGCATGGTGGGATATCTGCCTCAGATGCTCTGATTGTAATGTAACAGATTTTTGGTGTTTTGTCCAGATTTATTCAGTAAATAAATTGTGAACTGCACACTGAATGCTGCATCTTTTTATACAATCTTTTAAGCACGTAAACAAATTAAAACAATGAACTAATATATATATATATATATATATGTGTGTGTGTGTGTGTGTGTGTGTGTGT